TTCTTTTTGTTAATTAATGATCCAACGATTGTCTCCTGATGAAATGTTGGTTGAAAGGGCCTTAGTGACTAATAAAATTAAAATCAATAAATTCCTTGTTTTTAAAACTGTATATAAATTTTGTACCTCTAAACATTTGTTTATATATATATATATATATATATATATATATATATATATATATATATATATATATATGAAAAACAAAATTAAAAACTAATCTTAGTCAATATCACCTCGTTAAACCGATCTGACATTCTCTTAAGAGAAGAGTAAGTAGTGGTGACGTGGTGACATTAAGATAGATACCAAATTGAGAACTGATGACATCAGGAATATCGGACTAGTGACAGAGGCACAGTGAAACACCTGCAATTATGTATTAAGGAACTAGAAGTGTTTCCGTCCAAATCAACCCTGTCAATTGCCTTCAAGATATCCAATGTCTGAGCTTCTCCATTCTAATCTAATGCTTGACAGACTTTCTCATCAATAACCCTTAATACATCAACAGCTGACCTAGGAAAGCGAAAACCATATCGCTTATCTGACAGGAGAGCCTGCGTAGTTAGATGTCTCACCAATTCCGGGTTGATTAGAACCTCTAGAAGTTCACCTGAGTTCTTAATGTCTCGAACTACAGAAGAAAATTTCCATTAAGCAGGAAATCAAAAGATGGAAATTCATTTATTCTAGTGTTTCGACAGAACAGCGGCTATTTCAGGGGCACATTTCTTAAGGATTGTTGCAGGAATATCTTCAAGCCCACATGAAGAGGATCCAGTTTAAAGATGATAACTGAAATCCTGGACGGAGTTATATGCATATCACACAGATGAAACTTAGTCTTATTTAGAAAGTCAGGCAAAAGTACTCCATATGAGTCATTAGTAGAATTGGAAGAGAAGTTACGAGCAAAAAACTTTGTCTTATCAGTAGAAAATGTTAACACCTTAAATTGAATGAAGTAAGTGAACATAGAAGACGTGCACTTATTTAACACACCATTAGAGAGCGGCTAGTAATCACGAGAATACACGTTTACAATTATTACGAGTAGACACAAAGGCGTCTGTTGTGATCAGAGTTATTACGTTGGTATAGCCGGAAAAAGTGGTTCGTGTGCATTATAGTGCCTGAGCAGGCCAGTATGAACCCTGGAAAAGATTGTGGTTTCACCTGGTATTTACGACAAGTTACAACAGCCTTTATGCTGGTCTTAACCCAAGAAGAAACCACAGTCGAACTATTCTCCATTTGGTAGGTTAAAAATATCAATGCAGAGGGCGTATCGATGAAAGGCCTGAAATGAATCCCAATAATTACGCTGACAGTCTTCTGATTTGATATTCCTATCTAATAGACAACTCAAAAGAAATATCAACAGATATGACAGCTTGATCCGAAGAGGACAGATTCGTGATGCTCGATAAAAGCTACAGGTGAGGGCAAGGAAGAAACCAATCATAAGTTTGTAGGATTTCAAAATAAATTTGGGGAGGGGAGAGGTTTCGACGTCATTCCCAGATTTCATCCAACAAAATCTCGTGTGTAGTTTGGTTTATAAACATATGTAACGGTTGTATTTTTTATGCAATGTCCCTTCAGCACGTAGGAAGTCATGACCATCCACAGCTTCCCGTTCTTTATTATGTGTGAATTACCATGATTTCATGGGAAAACAGTGAAGTGTTTTAAGTTTGCCTTCTTCTCGGTCTTGAACTCTGTGTAGTCATTCTCCCTCCCAAGACATCGTCGATCATGGCTTTCCACAGCTTCCATTCCTTTATTGTTTTCGAATTGTCAAGCCTTCTTGGGAAAGGTAATTGTATAGTTTCCCGTTTCCACAGAGATAGTGATTTACTAAGCGTAGCTTAGTTGTGGCACATGGTCGAAAGTATGGGGCACTCAGTGAGGATCGAACTCACTACAGTCGTAACTGATCTAGCGAGACAAGTTCGCTAACCATTACAATACGTCGAAGTGATTTAGTAAGTGTAGCTTAGTTTCGGCAGATGGTCGAAAGTATGGGGCACTCAGTGAGGGTCGAACTCACTACAGTCGTAACTGATCTAGCGAGACAAGTTCGCTAACCATTACAATACGTCGAAGTGATTTAGTAAGTGTAGCTTAGTTTCGGTCAGGGGCATGGAGGATCGAACTCACTACAGTCGGGGCTACTCAAGTTCGCTAACCATCGTCGAAGTGCTTTAGTAAGTGCACTTAGTTTCGGCAGATGGTCGAAAGTATGGGGCATCTAGTGAGGGTCGAACTCAAGTCGTCGCTAACCGCTAACCATTACAATACGTCGAAGTGATTTAGTAAGTGTAGCTTAGTTTCGGCAGATGGTCGAAAGTATGGGGCACTCAGTGAGGGTCGAACTCACTACAGTCGTAACTGATCTAGCGAGACAAGTTCGCTAACCATTACAATACGTCGAAGTGATTTAGTAAGTGTAGCTTAGTTTCGGCAGATGGTCGAAAGTATGGGGCACTCTATG